AATTCTTTCTTAGTCTGAGAAGGCGAAAGACATTTAATGTGTGATACTTCATATCTCGAAGTTGGAAGGAACATTTGATGCCGCTGACAGAATTTTAAAAAAAAAATCTATTTTTTTTAAAATTTCCTAAAGAATAATTAAACATATAAATTCTTCCTTAGTCTGAGAAGGCGAAAGACATTTAATGTGTGATACTTCATATCTCGAAGTTGGAAGGAACATTTGATGCCGCTGACAGAATTTTAAAAAAAAAAATCTATTTTTTTTTTAAATTTCCTAAAGAATAATTAAACATATCAATTCTTTCTTAGTCTGAGAAGGCGAAAGACATTTAATGTGTGATACTTCATATCTCGAAGTTGGAAGGAACATTTGATGCCGCTGACAGAATTTTAAAAAAAAAATCTATTTTTTTTTAAATTTCCTAAAGAATAATTAAACATATAAATTCTTTCTTAGTCTGAGAAGGCGAAAGACATTTAATGTGTGATACTTCATATCTCGAAGTTGGAAGGAACATTTGATGCCGCTGACAGAATTTTAAAAAAAAAATATATTTTATTTAATTTCCTATTTCTTTATTATCTTACGGCTAACTACAATAATTTTGAAAGAAAAGTAATGGTGAGTATATCAATCCTCATCTTGTCATTTAGGATATATAAAGAAAACAATTTATATTGTAGTAACCACTTCAATTAGATCGTTTGTGTAAACATAACCAGGTCAAGAGACACAAATTCTGTTGCTCTCTGATTAAGTGCAGAAGGATGACGAAAAATTAAATTTAGATATGACCGAAAATCGACAATCCTTGCCTAAACCAGGACGAACTACAGAGCACAGCTCAAAGCCTACTGGCCGACATTTTTACAGGCCCCGCGAGCTAAGACTGGCTGTTAAAAGCTTTAAATTGTTAAATAATTTTTTTTTGTACACCTTGACGCGCCACGTTTAGTGGTTAGTAAACTTTGTTCTCGTCGTGCCCTCGCATTGTCACCATCATCCCGTTTGAAAAGCGATCAAATAATCAAAAAGCAACCAAATGTTAAGTGTATTTTTTTTTTTTTAATCTAAGAAATATTTAGAAACTAAAAAATGGCTTGGCTCCTTGGCTCATCGATTTTTAACTTTTCCAATTTGAAAATGCAGTTATCTATAAGCCATATTGGTGCAGCTTAGCAGTCTCTCTCTCTCTCTCTCTCTCTCTCTCTCTCTCTCTCTCTCTCTCTCTCTCTCTCTCTCTCTCTCCTCTCTCTCTCTCTCTCTCTCTTTACATCGTGTGTTTGTAATATTTGTGTATCTTAGCAGTCTCTCTCTCTCTCTCTCTCTCTCTCTCTCTCTCTCTCTCTCTCTCTCTCTCTCTCTCTCTCTCCTCTCTCTCTCTCTCTCTCTGTCAAAATAGAGAGGTTGTGAAAATCAGGCAACATAAATTCAGACAAGTCTTTTGATGCGATGTGAAATTTTATTGATTAAATTATCATTTTATATACATTTGTTTAGACCTTCGTTATATTCACTCTTAACATCAGGATAAGAAAGTAGTCAAGGAAGGAAGAACGAACGAACGAACTAAAGTTAGAAAGAAAGAAAAAAAAGAAAGTTGGGTGGATGGATGGATAGATGGATCAATTGATCAATGGATGGATGGAATAAAGAAAGAAATAGAAAAGAAAGAAAGAAAGAAATTGAAAGAAAGAAAATGCCAGGGGAGCAATAAAAATCAGCAGACGCTTAAAGCAGCATAAAGAAATCAAATCCAAGCAATAAGATTATACATAAAAAATAGTTTTCCCGCAATGACTTATATGGGAACATCAATAATCAATAATCAATAATCATATTTCAGTTACATTTCATGGAAGACGATAGAATATTTTGATTATTTGTACATTTTCTACAAAAAAAAAAAAAAAAAAAAAAAAAAATTTTTAAAAATTAAAAAACAAAAAAAAAAAAAAAAAAAAAAAAAAAACATCTTTAAAGGTGACCAGTCCAGAAGCGAATTCAGAATAAAGCTATATATAAATGATCTTTTTGTCATAGTCACGTATATATATTTACATAGTAATATAAAAATTATTGTATCAAACCACTATCTATAAGTTAAATGTATCGACAGATTTAAGTGAAAACATGTTATAAACTCACAGACTTCTTTTTGTACGTATAATGTAGAAATTCTATTCGCACATGATCAAAGTTCCGTTATAACGATAATGACACCGCCCCCTCCCCCCGGGCAGCGTCCACCAAATGCACCATACATATGTATCCACACATAAAACAACTGATTTTATTATTTTATTGAAATGTTTGGCAGATTACTTCTGGCCACTACGCCGTTGATGCCATTGCCTGATCGACCCAGCTATTGGCAACGTTAAGTACAACCATGAAACATGCGCCGCCACCCCCCCCCCCCCCCCCCCCCCCCACAACCCCCCCCCCCCCCCCCCCCCCCCACCCCGCTATTGGCAACGTTAAGTACAACCATGAAACACGCGCCCCCCCCCCCCCCCCCCCAGCACCATCATAACAACCCACTTTACCCACCCACCCACCCACACACACACACACACACACACACACACACAACTGTGAACGGCATGAGGTTGTAATACTTTGAACACTATTTTAAAATAGACTTAGTCAACGTCGAAACGCCCCGGGGAGGCCTGCGCGCTAATTCGTACCTACAAATCTGAACTAACGGAGAGACGCCCCTGTAAGCTGTGATGATCTTGTTCAGGTCGTGCAAGGACGACCCTGTAGCTGTGATGGTCTTGTTCAGGTCGTGCAAGGACGACCCTGTAGCTGTGAGGATCTTGTTCAGGTCGTGCAAGGACGACCCTGTAGCTGTGATGATCTTGTTCAGGTCGTGCAAGGACGGCCCCTGTAGCTGTGATGATCTTGTTCAGGTAGTGCAAGGATGACCCTGTAGCTGTGATGGTCTTGTTCAGGTCGTGCAAGGACGACCCTGTAGCTGTGATGGTCTTGTTCAGGTAGTGCAAGGATGACCCTGTAGCTGTGATGGTCTTGTTCAGGTCGTTCAAGGACGACCCTGTAGCTGTGATGGTCTTGTTCAGGTCGTTCAAGGACGACCCTGTAGCTGTGATGATCTTGTTCAGGTAGTGCAAGGATGACCCTGTAGCTGTGATGGTCTTGTTCAGGTCGTGCAAGGATGACCCTGTAGCTGTGATGGTCTTGTTCAGGTCGTGCAAGGACGACCCTGTAGCTGTGATGATCTTGTTCAGGTCGTGCAAGGACGACCCTGTAGCTGTGATGATCTTGTTCAGGTCGTTCAAGGACGACCCTGTAGCTGTGATGATCTTGTTCAGGTCGTGCAAGGACGCCCCTGTAGCTGTGATGCTTTTGTCCAGGCGTTACAGGAAAATAACTACGTGTCCTTGGCATCCAAAGATGTAAAACATTATACCAAAATGGCCTGAAAGCCGGATGCAGCGGGGTATCTATAAGGCTCGTGCTTCATTATTATTACGTTCTTTGTTCTTTTGGACTTATTTATTTGTGGCTATAAATTAAGAGATTGGTTTGTTTGAGAAGTTAAACCACGTTCGCATTAACCCCCCCCCCCCCCCCCCCCCCCCCCCCCCCCCCCCCCCCCCCCCCCCCCCCCCCCCCCCCCCCCCCCCC